CACGGAGTGACGAAGTAGGAGGGAGAAGGACAGAGGGGGAAAGACCGAGCAGGGAGAGAAGCGGCCATAGCTAGGAGGTGAAGAGGAGGCCGACAAAAAAAAAAAAAAGAAAAAAAAAAGAAAAAAAAGAAAAAAAAGAAAAAGAAGAAGACAGCGGGGGAAAGGCGGCGAGGGAGGTAAGGAAGAAGAAGGGGATTGGTGAGGAAGAAGTGCCGGCAGCCATAGCTGACCGGAGGCGTTGACCGAAGTTGACCGAAGTTGACCGAGGGTCATAGCAGTGTTGACCGGTGTTGACCAAGGCCCTTGACCAAGGCGTTGACCAAGACTTTGACCAATCTGGAGTTGGTAACATCTCGCCAAGCCCTTAGCCTGCCCCTTGCCCTATGGATGTGCACATACCCCTTGGTACTTGCTGAGTACAGTCTGTCTGTCTATTCTTTCTGCATTGAGTCTCTTCTGTCCTAGGTCATAGAACTCTGTGGATGAAGGATAGGGCCTTGCTGCAAAACCTGCACGGGACTTAGTAGGACTAATCTCTACTCTGGTATTTGGAGGCCTGGGCATGAGCGGCGAGGGCTCGTTAAACAACTCGTCTAGCCCAATGACCAGTACTGTCCGGCAGGTCTGCTCAGTTTCAGTGTAGAGGGTCCGAACTCTGAGCTGCAGGCTGAAACGGAGGTCATCTTTAAGTGTTGAGGGCCTGTTGGAACCACTCCCCTACCAGACCAAGTAAGGCTGATGATCTGTGTCGGACGACTCGACTGTCCCGGGGGATACGAACCCTCCCAAGGACCGGTACARACCGRCGGGCTGCTCGGTGTGGCACAGTAGGCCGGAAAGGCTGAGTTGTGGGCTGAAAGCACAGAGAGAACCAAGCTGATCACGTCGTCCTGTCTGCGACGTTAAAGAATTCTTGAGGAGTTACGGGGGATCTCCTTAAATGCCTCTTGATCAGCCACTGGTTCAGTAGTGACAGCCATAGCATAGGTCTAGGCTAGAGACCATAGTTGACAGTGTCCTTGTCAGGATTCTGTAAGTCTGAGATCGAGTCTAAAGGTTTGTCAGTCAGGGGTCAGAGCCTATGTGGTGAGGTTTGGAACCACTAACCCGGTTGTACACTTATCACCATGGTTGAGGCCCGTAGTGGGACGGAGACTAGTCCCTACACCCCTGAGCAGCAAGCAAAGATGGCCGCCTTAGTGAAAGAGAACAAGGAGAGAAAAGAGCGCGAGAAGCAGGCGAAGCTAAAGGCTATCGCAGATGAGCAGGCGGCGAAGATGAAGAGGGTACAACAGGAGGAGGAAGAAAGAAGGAAGGCTGCTGAAGCAGAAGCGACAGCAAAAGAAGAGAAAGAGAGAATGAGAATTGAGAGTGGGGAAGGGAGTAGTGGTGGCACGATGAAGTGGGAGACAAATACTGAGCTGGAGAAGAAGATCAACGAGTGGGTCGCTAATTTATCGTTGGGGGAAGACGAGGAGGCGGAGTCATATGTGACTAAGGATGAGAAGGCTGCGCTGGCCGCTGAGCTAGCAACCATGACAGACCCAATGGAACGAAGAGAGAGGGAAGACGAGCAAAAGTTAGCATGGAAGTTGAGAATGAAGAATGAGAAGAAGAGGAGGAGAGAGGAAGTGAATAAGATGACCGCAACAGTGGCAAAGGTGCAGGAGTGTAGAGCGGAGGTGCTGGCCCAGCCAGATGATAAGGCCAAGTGGGACAAAGTATTGGGCTATCTAGAGGTGTTGAGCAAGGCCTGGATGGAGGAGCGCCAGGCAAGCTGGAGCCAGGATGTAGCGTTGAGTGCCATGCGGTCCGGGTTTAGGGATTTTGCGCGCGAAATCGTCACCAACATTGGGGGCGAAGTCAAACAGTTGAGGGACAACGTAGGGAAGTTTTGTGAGGGCGCCATTCAGGGTGCCAAAGCTGCAGCCGCTGTAGAAGGAGAGGGCAGACCCCGTAAGGACCCAGTGAAACTTAAGTTCCCAGACGCGTACGGGGGAAAGAAGGACGAGAACTTTGACAACTGGGAGGCTAGTGTCAATAGTTATATTTACTTACAGCACATCCCGACGGAGGAACAAGTCCTCGTGGCCTTCCAGGCCCTCAAAGATGAAGCGGCTAGTTTCGCCAGGTCTCTTGCGCGTACAGCCGGTTGTGAAAACAACCTGGTTGCATATTCCAAAGTCACTCCTCTTTCCCAATTCCTCAAGCTCCTCAAGGAGCGGTTCGCTGACCCAACGCGAGGCATTAGAGCCTCTGACAAGCTCCAAACGATCCACTCCCGACAGTGGAGGAGTGCCAAGTCACTCAAGGGTACCATGGACGACTTGGTAACCGTCCCGGACCACGGGGTCACTGAGCCCCAGTTGGTCCAGTTGTTTTATCGTGCCATTCTAGAGGCCCTACGCGGGCATTTCTTTGACAAATCTCAGCAGGCCGGCATGACTTACGATGCATTGAGTAGAAAAGTCGTCCTGTATGAGTTGAAGTCTATGCCAATTACCACTTTCTGGCATAAGGACCTGAAGAAGGTGAAGAAGTGGAAAGATCGTACCATCTCGGGCCAAGTCAAGGCCAAGGATCACTTGATCCTGACATTAGAGGAGGGTGGTACAGAAGAGGTCCCATATGATCAGATTGAGTGGGGCCTAGGGGAGGAG